TTGGTCCCATGGTTTCCCTCATTTGCAATAACTAGTATATGTCTGAGACAAGCAGAAAAGGTCGGATAAGATTATGTTAAGCGAAATGAACCCCAAGATAAGGACACAAGTGGTTTTTTTTCTTTCTTGCTATTACTTCTAATGTATTTATAAGATATAATGTGTTTTTTTTGTTGCTTTGTATCTTCCTCCCCCCATGGTATAACTCCTGTTTTCACTGTATTTAATATTGGTATAATTTGGGGAGGGAGAGGGAAAAAAATTGCTTAAACAATGACATATATAAGACGCTATGTCGAAAAACAAACTTTACAATTTAGGCGGTGGAGGGGAGAGTGTAGTTGTTGAGATGTGAGGGAAGGGATGGTAGGGGAAAAACAAAGGAGGAGGTAACAATGCTTGATAAGAACTGTACTCATTACCTTGTTAATGTAACTGTAACCCCTCCTCTGTATAGTATTCTCATAATAAAAAAAAACTTATTAAAAAAAAAAACTCAGGGATAGGGATACAGGTTGACCCATTGCAACAATGAGATGTACAAGACGCTATGTTGAAAAATGAACTTTAAAATTTAGGCAGGGAGTGGGGGTGTGGAGAGGGGGTGTGGGGTCATGTAGTTGTGGAGATGGAAGGGAAGGGATAGTAGGGAAAAAACAAAGGAGGAGGCAACAATGCTTGATAAGAAATGTACTCATTACCTTGCTCATGTGATTGTAACCCGTCTGTACAGTATTTTCACAATAAAAAAAATTAAAAACAAAAACAAAAAAGCTCAGGGACAGCTCCCAGGCAGTGAGTTCAAGCCCCACAATTGCCAAATATAGATAGATAGATAGATAAAATTTCCCAAGATGAGCATGCTGAAAATCTAGCTATGGAAATGTCTTTCTAAACTATAAATAAAGGGAAAAGATAGACACAGTACAACCCAAAAGATAACTCCAGAAATATGACAATTGATATAAGGAAGGATGGTCAGAGAATTTCAATGCACAGAACTGTTTTAAAGGCATGTTTTGATTTGTGTGTGTACTTTTAAAAGTTATTTACAGAGCCAATTTATCTATGAAAATTTGCTATTTGTGTGGGATGCATATAGGCTCAGCTCCCAGACCAAAAAAATTAATAGCAAATATAGAAATGTTAACTTATTTCAAATCACTATGAAGTGAAACAACTAATTTTACCTTGCCTAAGTTCATCCTTCCTATTTGTTTTCTCTTTCTCTTTTCTCTTTCTTCCACTAATAACTCTCAAATATATCAAGGATATCACTACTGTTACTTGCTATTATTATGAAAAATTATTTTCTCTTAAGAAATAATTTGTGGAGATAATAACTATAGGTAATGGGACAACTATATGCTTAAGTTTAAGGCAATTTTAACCATTTAAATCCTATGTAAAATTAGATTAAGGAGGATGTTGTAGGAAATATATAAGAAGCGAAACTTGAGGGCAATTAATTCTATGAGAGTTGGGACAAATTAAGTTTCAATAATTCCTTTACTAAATCAATATTAGGGACTAAATTCTCTACAAATGAAAGAACAAGCAAAATTTATGTGAGAATAACCTAAAAATGAGACCGAATTTTTAATTAAAAATGAATGATATATTTGAAAACAATTCCATGTTTGTACCTAAATTTGACCTTGATTTTCCATTTACCAAGATTTTGTTGCAAGGATATTAATCTCTCACTTGGTGGTATTTACCAGATGCCTGTCTGTGCAACACAAGAATGAAAAGCATCCCACCCACCAGTTTAACAGCTTGACTTAAGAAAATATGGGACAGCTCTTGATGGAAGAAGACAAACGAAAGAAAACTTAATGAGCATTAGTCAAATTAGAAACCAAAAACAGTGTGTTCCATTCACTACATGAATCAGTCTTTATACAACTTGAAGGCAAACAACTATGAAAAACAGGAAGGAAGGAAGGAAGGGGGAGGGAGGGAGGAATGGAGGGAGAAAGAAATGAAGGAAGAAACAGAGAGAAAAAGGAAGGAAGGAAGGAAGGGAGGGAGGAAAGAAGGAAGGGAGGAAGGAAGGAAGGGAGGGAGGAAGAAAGGGAGGGAGGAAGGGAGGGAGGGAGGGAGGGAGGGAGGGAGGAAGGGAGTTTTGCACCGAACAATAAAAAAAGTCAGTTTAGTAGAAAAGTTGTAAACATTTTACTACTTGGGGGAAGCAAGTAATTGCAGGTTAAGACCTGATGCTTAACACTCAAGATAAATTCTTAAGTTATGTGTATATGGTCTTTTATTGATTGGTTGGGTTATTAATTTAAGAGAAATCTTTTGAATCTTTAGCATAAATAATGAAAGATCAAATAAGGCAAAAATGAATAAACTATGTTTTGTGTCTTTAGTAACTGTTACATTCTATATTGGCAGTAAGATTTCAATATATTACATACTAGCGCTGATTTTGGATTCTATTTTTCTTTCCAAGTATAGTTATTCATTACTAAGGAATTTGAAATAAAAAATGTAGACATTGAAGTACCTATTGTGCAATAGAAAGAACATAGATGCCTTGATATTTCGTCTCAACTCTGTCACTAACAAGTTGGACTTTCTAGTGTTATATCTCTGGTTTTATCAAAAATTAGAAAGAAAGATATAATTTCAGTTGGCTGTTTTTCTATGCAGCTGAAAAAGTGAAGAAATACCATAAGACATTTTTACTAAATCTTCTGTTCTGTTAGCCCTTGCAATTTACAATTTGTTTATTATGACATGTACTAGAAATAAATATCTATATATCACTAATCAAAACAGGCCCATGCATAGCTTTTATGTTGTGATAATCATGAGGGTGAACTTTCCAAATTATTCTTGGTGAAACCAGAACTACCTAGACCAGGATCTGTTACTGGACATAGATTAACAGGGTGAGATAAAACAATGAATATACTGTCCTTTTGAAATGGATGTAGTTGGCAGGATGCAAGCCTGGATAACCCTAGATACTCAGGAGAATGAGATCTGAGGATCAATATTTGAGTTTGAAGCCAGCTCAGGTAGGAAAGTTCATATGACTCTTATGTCCAGTTAACCACCCCTCTCAAAAAAAGTTGAAAGTGGGGCTGTGGCTTAAGTGGTAGGCACCAGCCTTGACTAAAATATTTCAAGGACTGTCCCCACTCCCTGAGTTCAAAGGTCAAGGACAGCGAATAACAAGATGTAATGGAATTACTAAAGGATGCCTAGGTCTTAAAGAGACCTGATTTTCCAAGCCTTATCAACCTATGCAAGTAAGGCAGTATTCTTCACAATTATTATTATTTTCAAGAAACATTGCTACAGCATTCTAACCAACTCAGGTGAATTTTTAATCACAGGCTTTAATTAGAGAACGTAAATTTCCTTATGATATTTTATTGTCCATATTAGATTGCAGTTGAATATATTTCACATTGTGTTTATATCTCTCTTTTTTAGAAGTGATGGCGTTGTAGGGTTTGAATTCCTTGCATTTGCTCAGGTTGCTTATTGCTGGTTATTTTGGAGATGAAGTCTCATAGAATTTTCTTTTCCAATTAGCTATGAAATATGATCCTGTGTCTCAACCTCCTGATTCATTAGGAATACAGGTAAATGCCACCAACACCCCAGCATGATCATTAGACTTTTATGTTCAAAATGTCTTTGATATGGGTGTATTAAAGATTAAGTAGACAGAATAGACATGACAAATAAGAACTGTTGTGTTTAATCATATTATATGGCTATTTGATGATTCCACTTTGTTGAATAGATAACACACAAATTACACAATGATTTGTTGGAGAAAAAGGCAAAATTTGTAGCATATGGGTACTAAGTAGTCTAAATCTCTCAAAATGCTCTGCGTGCAACAACTTGTAGGTTTTAAAACAGCAAAATGTACAATCAGAAAATCAAACTAGGTACAAGAACAAACAAATTTAACTTATTTCTCTACTCCCCAAAACATAGAGCAAAATATTGAGAATAGATTACCAAATGAGTTTTCTCATGAATGTGGAGATATATATGTGTGATATATATATATATACATATATGTGTATATATATATGACTCCTATCTTTATTGGGAAATATAAATATCTCTCGCTTATTCTGGATAAAATATTAATAAGAAAGCTAAATGGGTAAATCTTTCATTTTTTTCTTTTTACAGCTATTTTTTGATGAATTATATGGATAAACAGTCATAGTGGTGTAGGCTCAATATCGAACAACAACAAAAAAGGAAAAACTTCCCTGATTTTTATATCATCAAATTCACAAGCTTATTTAGGCTGTCTGCAGCTCTAAGAATTTATATTATCTAACTTTAGAAAAACTTCTGTTCAGATTTCTTCTCGACAGACTGCCCCCAAAATTTTATCTTTGAACTCGTTTAGAGCTGTATACAATCATCTCTTTGTAGTCAAACTGCATTCATGGCCTTCTAAATGCCTTAGGTTTGTTTGATCAAAATACAGGAATTATGCTTTTAGTTGTTTATTTTCTTAATCTGAAAATACTCAAAGGTAAATATACTGTAATTTGTTTCCTTGCACCATCTAGTGGATTTAAATGACAGTTGCGACAATAAAGGATTACAAATTAATCCGGATGTGAATTTTCAGACGTTATGTGAAGAACCGAGCCTAAAATGCCATTTTATATAGTTCTACAACAGGGCACTCATTTTCATTTTTTTCCCCCTTTTGGAGAGAAAAATCAATTCACACCTGGGCAAACTCACGGCAGAATATTTTAGCCTGTAAATAAAACAACATAAAACGGCACCTGTGCACCCGGTTTACCAAAAAAAAAAAAAAAGACAATGACAAACACACTTCCGTTCTTCCCATCCTTTCTTCACCAAGGCTCCCAAGGGAGCTGCTACGCGTCGGAGGAAAAAAAAAAAAAAAAATGCAGCGAGTCTGCGCGCAGGCCGCGCGCAGGCTCCCTAGTAACCGGAAGCTGGGAGGCGGGGCTACATCCCCGGCCGGAGAGCGAGCGGAAGGAGCCGGGTGGAGCGTCTGGGTGGAGGCGCTGAGACCCCTTGGTCGGTGAGTCGCAGCTCCCAAACCCATTGCCGGTGGACTCCGACACGAACCGCACGGTGCGGGGCTCCGGATCCGTGGCTGTGGCGGCTGCTGCTGTCGCCGAGGACTCGCCCGACCCCCGGTCTCCGCCGACGCCGCTGCGGGAAGACGCGGCCTGGAGAGGCCTCGTAGGCCTAGGTGCGGCCCAGCAAGCCTGACGCGTGGCTGCCGTGAGTAAAATAAATAAATAATAGAGCGAGCGCCCTCACCACAGTCGTTGACCAGTTAAAATGGAGGAGATTTCCCTGGCCAACCTGGATACTAACAAGCTGGAGGCCATCGCGCAGGAAATATACGTAGACCTGATAGAGGATTCTTGTTTGGGATTCTGCTTTGAGGTGCACCGGGCAGTCAAGTGCGGCTACTTCTACCTGGAGTTCGCAGACACGGGTAGCGTGAAGGATTTTGGCATTCAGCCAGTGGAAGACAAAGGAGCACGCCGCCTCCCGCTTTGCTCCCTTCCCGGAGAACCTGGCAGTGGGCCCGATCAGCAGCTGCAGCGCTCACCTCCAGAATTCCAGTAACCGCCGCAGGAGAGAGGGGCGGAAAAAAAAAAAAAAAATGACCAGGACAATAATCTAGACTGGTCCCTTGACTTGGAAGAGTAAGCTTAAGTAGGGCAAAACAAAAAAATCAGACAAAACTCCCAATTTCTCCCCTTGAAGATGCTAGCGTAAAACAAAACAAACAAAAAAAAAAACCCAAAGTGGAGAATTTTAAGAATTCAGATATTTTTTTTTCTCTTTTAAACGTGTCTGTGGGGCCAGTTCTGAAACCCTGGGCAGGAGAAGGTGCACAAGCTGGGCAGTATGCAGTGTGTATGGATCTCTAAACACACCTGGATTCCCTGTGCTGCCCTCGGTACACAGGTGAGAAGCTGTGTGCCCAGCATAAAATCTTTCTGTTCTGAGACTTTCTATCTGCTTCATGCCACGGGCTACCTGGAGAGTTTGGACCTTGTCCATGATCTGGCCATTTTGTCAGTGGGACTGTTTCTTTCATTTTTAAGTCTCTCATTTGAGCTTCACTGATAATAAAATGAAAGGTATAACTCCTGGAGACTTACCATATCAATTTAGGACCACCAAGAAAAAATTCTCAGTTGAATTCGGTAGTGAAGCTTTATGGCCTTGACTGCAGGAGAAGAACAATTCAAAACATTTTTTTTTTTTTTAAGGCCCAGCATTTTTGGTGGTTTCTTCATACCTGATAACAAGCCCTGCCTCTGGTTGAGCAGAGCCTTGATTTATTCCTCCCCACCCAGTGTCATAAAGTTGACAAGTACAACTTGGTTGTCCAGACAGGCTGAGGATACAATTGTGAGCCCATGGAGAGGTAGTAGAGACCTCTGCAACTATGCACAGTCTCATACTGGAAGATTTATATATTGGGCTGTGGACATAAGTTTGGTGGGACAGTACCTTCCCTCATTTGAGTTACTGATTGCATAGCCACTCTACAAGTCTGACTTGGTCACTGTGCCAGGTCACTACTTGCTTCCTACTTCGGGGGCCTGAAGAGCATCATGGTTGTGCAAGAGGCTAATTGAAACATGAGCCCAAAGAGGGCCTCTGCCAGCTGCTCTGAGTAATGTGAATGAGTTTAGTGCTAGAAGCCAAGGAGCAGGACTAGGTCATCTCTTTCGTCTGACTGTGTGCAGAGTCCTGTTGAATGCCCCTCTCAGAAGCTCTGTTTTGGTGAACATTCAGACTGTCACCACCTTTTCTGCCCTTCCAAAGGGGCAGTCTTTTCCACTAGGTCCCTTTTGGACCTCTTGACAGCAAGAGCTTTCTGTTGCTGGAAGTCAGGAAAACATGTCCAAGTTCCCTGACTTTAGGAAATGGGATAGGGGGAGGATGGGAACTGAGCTGTGTTATCAAAATTGCCTTGTGTTTACTCCCTGACTGAAGGTTTATAAAGGGTAGGTGGGTGGGAGGACTGAGGTGAGTGGAACAGGTGCTGCTTTATTTGAAATGTTTTTCTTACCTCATTCTATGCCCCAGTAAAGGCCCTGCCTCATCTCTGGCTTGGTCCATGTTCCTGTCCACTGCCTATCTGGTGCAGCTCATAATTCCAGGTGCTGCTTGCCACTCTTAAGCTTTCCCCATCTACCAGTTTCAGTTCATCTCTCTTTAAATACTTGTGATTCTTCTCAACTTCCTTTTTCTTGGCCTTTTTTTTTTTTTTAATGTTTTTATTCTGTTTTTTGGAAGACTCAGAGGAGAATCTTTGGCTCCCTATGCTTGGATTGGAATGGGGAAATAGGTTTTTTGTATTTACAAGGCAGAGTTATTTGTCTCTATAGGACTGCCTTAGTATACCCTCCTGCTTTGTCTTCATGAGTTCTGTCTTCCTACCTGCACTTGGATTCTGCTTTTAGGACTTAAGCAGAACTATGAAGGCTGTCTGGCACCCAGAGATGGAGCTAGTCCACCTTCTCTTCCCCTTGCTCTGTATGTATCTTCCCATGTCTATGGACTGATGATTTGAGGTAGAGTTTAGGAAACCACTAATTAGACCTGAGTCTCTTACTGCCTTCTAAAGATTTCCTGCCCAGCTTTGTGGCCTAGATACAGATCTACAATCCAACAATTACAGCTTTTGAAAAATGTCAAACCTTGGCTGAAGCTAAAAGTAATTTGTAGTTATCCTTACCTTTGACTTTTTGTGAATATCTAATAGAATGCTGATAGAAAGGAGGATCTGAGACAGTGTTTTGGAAACAAGATGAAAGAGAAAAGATAATCATCTACTTATTCTTCCTTTAGTTAGGGAACCAAGAACATGACTTTAATATTTTCTTTCAGACCTTTTCTATGACTGGAGGAGGAAGATGTTGGAAGTAAGTTTGAGTAGTGGTTTCTTTACATCTCTCTTTCGTTGTTTTGATCCCCTTCTCTACTACCATCATTAGGACAAGAGGCCCCTGCCCCGGACAGGTACTAGGTGGGCTCAGTCTAGCAGGTGCCCTGAGGGGACAAACTACTACTGTTCAGGGAGTTCAGGCTCCCTAACATACAGTTGACAGTGGTTAGAAACTCCCTTTTCCTATCTTCCCTATTGTCCTTTCTGTAACAACAGAACTTCTGTCCTTCCCTATTCAATTAATTGTATTGGTTACTCTATAATCTTACCGTGAGTGAGTGAGTGAGTGAGTGAGTGAGTGAGTGAGTGAGTGAGTGTGTGTGTGTGTGTGTGTGTGTGTGTGTCTGGGGGAAAAGGGTTCTTTAAAATTTCTGTGGTTTGTGGCTTTTTCTACCATACATTAGTTTTCCACCACCGCATGCCCAGGGGCCACTGCCTGGCACTATCGCATGCTGGGACCATTGCGGGAGGGTACTATGAAACTCACCACTGTCCTTTGCTTTGGAGATTTCTTATTTTTGCATAAGTAACCCATCCTATACAGATAGCTGTTTAACCGTGTGTTTCCTTGCCCCTATGGCTGCTGGTGTAAATAAAATGCATCTCCCCATTGCTAAACAGTAAGAATAAACTTTTTAAAAATTACTTTATTTGACTCTTCATTTTTTAAAAAATATGACTTGTTAAGTCCCTGAATAGTGAAGTGTTGTATCACTCTTGAAATTTAGTCTTTATTTTTAAAAAGGAGTTTTCTGGATAAATTATCTAGGCCTGTTCCTCCATCTAGTTCTGAAAATGATCTATCTCCAGCGTCTAGTGAAAACTATATATAATCTTATATATAAAACCTCTCTCTTTCCATCTGACATAAAAAAGAGGTAATATACATATGATCCAGACCTGTTACATTTTAATAAGTACATTTTTACTATTTCAAGAATATCTTTGTTCTCGAGGCAAATGATTCATAGGGGAAAATGATTCTGCTTTTCTAATGGCAACATATATATTATACATATATAAGTATTTTTTAACATGCATGTTACTTTTTAAAATTTGACCCCTTTTTCATTTCACTTTAAAATAGTTATATTTTAAAAAAAACCTTATAGTTGATAAGCACTTCTCAATTATACATAATTGTACTTTATACTGGTCAAAATACATTTTTGCTAAATGTTCTAATCATTAAAGATCCAGATTGATGAGATGAATACAAATTGTCATGAAAATGGAGCCACAGAAAAATATGGCTCAGTAGGACACCTGAAGGAACTTAATAGACATGAAGCATTGTAAATAGTTTCTTACAAGAACACTAAACTCAAATGTCATTGTCAAGTTTAGACACTCAAGACCAATCTAATTACTAAGTTAATAAAATATGCAAATATTTCTATAAATGATATAATGTAAACAAGTGAATTATTTTGCCTTAAATAAGACTTCCCCTCTTTGTGAAATTTGCTGTAGGAATCAACTACTATTCAAATGTAGTTGGAGCTAAGACTGTTTTTCAAGTTCACGTTTGAATTAATGTACTTAATGCCTCATTTTCCGAATGAGATATATGGCTCAGTGGTAAAGTGCTCGCATCGCATGCATGAGGCCCTGGATTCCATTCCTCAGCAGCACATAAACAGAAAAAGCCAAAAGTGGTGCTGTGGCTCAAGTGTTAGAGCACTAGCCTTGAGCTGAAGAGCTGAGGGAAAGGTCCCAGGCCTAGAGTTCAAGCCCCACAACTGACCAAAAAAAGAAAAAAAAGGTATATCTAACTGAGATATTTGTTAAGACCTCTACTTAGAATGACAAGTATAATTAAATTAGGGGTTTAAATCTTTTGTGTTGAACTGAGGGCCTCTTGCTTTCATGTGACTTTTCACTCATGGATGGTCCTTTACCATTTGAACCACACCTCCATTCTGGCATTTTGCTGGCTAATTGGAACTTTTCACAGACTTCTGCCACAACTGGCTACAACTTTTAGCCTTCTGAGTCCCTATTAGTACAGGCATGAGTCACCAGGGCTCAGTTGACATTAAGGTTTTTTGAATTACGGTTTTGAACTGGTAAGATATTTATATTTTAAATATAAATGTTCACCTTCCTAGATTTATTGTCTTAACAGTATGTACTGTTAGATCAGATTGCTTGATGTTCACAAAAATAGAAATGTACTAAAGTAGTTATGGAAGCAAGAATAATACATTTTTGCATATATTCATAGCTGATATCATTGTTATGTTAAAACCTGTGTGTGTATACACACACACACACACACACTTGGGTGCTGTCCCCAAGCTGTTTCACTCAAGGTTAGTGCTCTACCACTTTGAGCCACAGTGCCACTTCTGGTTTTCTGGTGGTTACTTGCAGCCAAGAGTCTTGGATTTTCCTCCCTGGACTGGCTCCAAACCTCCATTCTCAAATCCCGGCCTCTTAACTTGCTAGGATTACAGGCATGAGCCACTGGTGTGCTGCCAATTTTTTAGAATTGTGATTGTCAAGATAATTATTATTAATAATTTGCTCTCAGGTTAACTCAAGGCATTAAACTTTGGGAGTTTTGCTGTGTTGTACAAGGTAGAAACTGATTCCCACTTAGATTCCAAAAGACGCTCTTGATGTTTAGAAGAAACTTAAAATGATTTTCTTGTTCAAGAAGATACTACAGGTAAAACTACATTCTTTAAATTCTATCCTTGAAAACATTTTCTGTTTCAGTTTTATTAGTTGAACCTCATTGCAAATATG